CATTACTAAGACTGTAAATGGAAATTAATGCTCCATTCACATCAAGTAAACATGTGTAACTACGACGAAAACCCAAGGCAAAACCCTACCTTGCTTTTGCAGTGAAATCCATAGGCCTTCATGTGGTTTTTTTTAGGGTATGGAAATAAATGCATGTTAAAATGCAAGCACTTTACTCTGCTTAACAGAAGACACCCCTGATGATATTTAGTGTATACCACATACTGCCATTAACTTGACAATTTAAGGCTTTCTTTCATTTCTGCAGAAGATGATGCTTGGATGTTTTTTTTCTGAGGAGGACTGCTCAGAATCAGGAGATCTGACCATTGGTAAGAGTAATTGAAGATCACTAAATCCAAGCAATTCAGGAAAAGTAAGCACATTGACTGTTCTTTACTTCGTAGTGAAGATCACCATGAATAACTCAGACATTCATGCCCTTTAAACCCTAATATCAGAATATTGTTCTTAGTTCTTCCTCCTTTACATTTCATAACCTATAAAAGTGATAGGCACGAAACTAAAAACTTAGCCGATTCAGGGAGAATGTGTCAGTAAATTCATCTCTTGTGACTACAGCTTTATAACCTTAATTCTCATGACCAATCTGTTTTCAAAGCATAAAATGCTACAAGGAGAATTTTAATGTTGATCACTGTCAGAGCTAAAAGGGTTAAAGGGAAATGAAAAAACCCTCGGGCTAGCGAAATTTACTATTATCTCCATGACTAATTTTGATTTGTGACGAGTGATCCAGAATAACACAATCAAAAGTTCAGTGTTTGATCGCATTACAGGAATTGCTACTCAGATCGTTCATGTGTTTAACACAGTTACAGTAGCAAAAGTGAATGCAAATGGAACGATATTTTGGTAACATGCTCTTTGATTTATTAAGATTCTCGCTGAAATGTCTTTAACACTATCGCCAGGTACCAAGAGGAAGGTGGGAAGACCATCAGTTATTAAAGCTCATCCTCATCCTGAGGTCGTGGAAATAAAAAAGCAGTCAAGGAAAGGCAAAAAGCAGTCACTAGCATATGTGATGGAGTGCCAGACTGGACACCAAAGTCTACACCCAATCTGATCTACTTTGGAAGGTCCCGGCGAGACTTAAACCTTGACATCTTCATTCTGACATCTTGCGCCCAGGGACACACTTGACACAATCCCATAGAATGCAGTTGGGCCCCTCTTTCAAAATGGCTTACTGGTGTTACTCACCCGATAGCCTTGGAAGAGAAAACTTCTCCCTGGGTGGATTTTGTAGGGTTAAATGAAAATGAGACTTGTAACTGGAAAGCTGAGGTTGTACACGAAGCGTGCTGCAAGTGCAGATATTGGGATGGAAAGAAGATTGACTGTTCCGTTCGGGTCGCATGCTCTGCATCTCAATCTCAAGGGGAGCAAATCAGTGACAGGAACTTCTTAAAGCCTTAGCAAGTAGTAGTGAAAAAAAACAAAACAAAAGTAATCCTAACCTTGCAATCCTGGCAAATTGCCGCTCCAAGTATCGATTTCTCATGGACATCTGACAAGGAAAATGTATCAAATTGAATTTGTCAAGTGCATTAGTTCACAGTGTGATGACTGTTTAAGGACACCAATCTGAGCAGTAAATTTTTTTAACTTTATTAAGCAGCACGGTGGAATAGTTCCATTTCCCAAATCCAGCACAGTCTACAAGGGGCACTATTCCACTCTTTTGCAGCATTTAAAGATGCCCCTTGTTTATGATTTTGAGGAGTGTCTCCCAAGTTTGAACGGGGGGACCCAGCCTGCTTGTACAAAAGATAACTGCTGCTATGTTTTCAATTCTAAAGCTGACGAGAAATGTCCCAAAAAGCCTCTCAAATGTACCACAATGCCATGCAGATTTGATTTTTTTAACATCTTTGTGTTCAAAGCCTAAATTGTACTATTTTTTGAATTTCAATTATGCTACACTGTAAAGGAACCTGAGTTGTCAGCGGCATTATTTAATTAAGAATATTCATAAACAATTGTAAAAATTTACGTAGGTAATATATTTTATTATTTTTGCATACACTGGTCACATATTTTTTTAAGAGGCTAATTAAATGGTTGATAGAATACATGCATATTGCATATTTTGAGAAATGAGCTACTTAAACCTTAGCTACAGCTGGAAATAAATTACAATATAAATTACAATGTAAATTACTGATTTGTAAATGACCATTCTGCATCTTTCGCCTTGCTAGACGATTTTCAACACTTCATATGGTCTTGTGTATGCTTTTGGATGTTTTTGGGATGCAGATTTCAAAATTTTCATTCTGCCCAGAGAGAGACCACACACGTCTTTCAGACAGGCTTTGTTTTCTGTTCACTCTTTTTGTTCTTCTGCTGTCAGCGGTGCCTTTTCCAGTTCCTTTTTTTTTGGTTGGAATTCCCCTGAGACTTTTCAGAAATGTGTTGTTTTATAGGGAAATCAACTGGAACGGGAGAAGGGCTTTTGGCCAGCTCACTTTCCAAGCTGCCCCCACTTATTGATTCCTGACCGTGTAAATACTCATCATGCATAACAGAATCTACAAAAGTACACACATCAACTGAATTTGTCAAGGCTGTACTGTTCAGTATTGGGACAGGGCATTCAATTATCTTTATGGATTTAGACAGATTAGTGCCGCTGCTGGGCTCCTGAACCTGTAATATTCCTTGTTTTTCACCTTTTTTGAAAAATCAGATGATCACCCCTCCAAAATTTGGAGATGCCCCCTTATCCAATGTAGTCTTGACAAATAGATCCTGGATATCTCATGTGCAGAAGGTGGAAGATTTCAGTGGCAAAATAAGCTAAACCATGCTCACCCAGATTGTTCGGATCTTAACTATTTGCATGAACAGTGATGCCTGCATATATGACAAGATAATGAAAGTTATAAAAATTGTTGCTTAACTATTATGAGATGTATAAAGTTTTTAAACACAAATCATGCCATACACAAGTTTACTCGTTTTCCGCCATTACATATGTATCTTTATTAAATCAAACACTGAGCTGAACACTGAACGTGTTGATTAAAGGTCTTTTCATACAGTCTGGTATTTCTTTAAAGCACTGGTCAAAACTTACAAAAATGTTTCCACTTTGGTCAACACAAATATATCAACTTAACCTTAGAATTCTAAGTTTAAATTCCAGTGGTAGTAAAATACTTCGGCAAGCAACTAAGGAACTCTGAGAATTATCATTATTTTGTATTAAAGTTGACAGGAAACTTAAAAATGCCTTATAACCAGCAGCTGCATTCATGCAATGGATATTTTAAATGGTGAAGTGCACTTTTGTTTTAAATTCCACAATTAGTTATTACCTTTTGTAAAAAAATTAAGATAGGACACGTGCTCTGATTGGTCTAGAGAGAAAACAGCCGTTTCTTCTCGCTCTTTGCTGCTGGGGACGTTTAGTGCAGAGGAACGTCTGTGACTCAGTGACAAAAATTCTATACTGATGACGTGAATCAATGTTTACTTAATATATCCGGTAGTCATGGACTGAGAACTATAAGAGTCAGAAACAATATTTCAATTTGTTTTTCCTTCTGCAGGAAAAGCTTTCAACTTCCACATTTATCACTCACACCAGAAATTCCTTGACAAATTCACTTAAGGAAGAATTCCTGAATGGAGGTGTGAACAACTGTTTTTCAATATAACAGATGAATATGTTTTAATGACCTTTTATTGCTTACTATTGTCAGAGTTACTGATGTTTTTGGAGGCTCCAGCCTCCTTCCTTCCCACCTCCCTACTTTTCTGGTTGCAGGCATCTATGATAACTTGCCTGTACTTTATCTATATTTACTTTATTTATTGGTCAATATTTGTGTGTATGTTGGTGATATATTTAAAATAAAAATATTGTTCAAATGAAACTGCTGTTAAAAAATGAAATTGTAATCCAGCTTTCACCTCATTGATCGGCAAAAGCTTGGATTTCAAGGACAACATGAACAGATTAGTTATTTAATATTATAGATTTGACTGCTTGTAGGCCATGGGCGAGGGTAAGCCATGGTTTACCCCTCAGTGGTCTACACTACTACACCAGCAATAATTTTATATGGATCAACATCTCAGTAATAATACTATTTTGTCCACACAACCACCAGCCATGAATAGAAGGTCAAACATTATGGAAATTCTGAGGGGGCAGGGTCTCAAAATTTAAACAAAAATGTTCCAGGAAAGTATGAATTTTTAAGAAACAAAGCAATAAAACAATTGACTCTTTCCATTTGTCCTAATATGTTTTGATAAGTTGATTAACATTTTACTAGTAGTAAACTCGAATTTCCAACTTACTTGCTAGGTGGGTATGGATATTTGGGGTAAAACAAAATAATTAAACTCTTCTTACAATATCTGGTTTACTGACAGCTGTATTTAGAACCTTATTGCCGTTAGTTTCGAACGAGATGGAGACTAAAATAGAAGTGAACAAACATAGCTAGCTGTGATTAAAATTATAACATTACTGTTGCCCATCAAAGGGACTTCGTTTTCTCCTTGGCGACTAAAAATTCTGATTTAGTCTTGGATGCCACTTTGGTGATCAGATTTCTCTATGATTTAGATTTAAATTAAAAGAGTAAAGTTGAAACAAACATTTCATTTTTATCTTACTTTGCTTTTGTCTCAAAAATGTGCCAAATTGCACAAAAAAATCTGGTTTAACCCCCAAATTTATAATAATGACTTGGAGGTCTTTATATTTACACCGACTTTTGTCTGCGATGTTTTAAAACAATCAAGTCTGATCCATTGCGCCATACTATGAATTGTGTCATTTACATTATACCAACTGGTGACTAAAAATCAGCAAATGGCAACTATATTTCTCCAAGGATTTTTTTAATTTTGAGCCCTGTAGGACAGTATTGGACAGTTTCTGTTTGACATTCTCTAATGATGTTTTAATTTCTTAGAAAAATCAATATTTTCTTGTAACTTATTCACTGCATCTTTTAACTTGTGGGAAAATTCCATCGCTCATCAGAGGCATGCTCATCACAGGATAGTTCTTCTGTCCCTATGAATTCTTGTTCTCCATCACTTTCTAGCTCTCCAACAGGGTCAACCCAGAGGTCAACAAAGAGGTATGCATGTGCTTCAATTTCTTCAAGCAAGTTGGATAAGTGCTGTTTCCTCTTGGGGGGTAGGAAGTCTTACTTACAGCTCTGTTAGTTGACGGGCTTGTCTTAACTGGGCAGTTTGATGCTCTTAAGGAGCCATCTCTTTCCTTCACTTCCAAAGCAGTGGTGGCAGTATCTGAAATGTATGATGGCCCTAGCTCACTGCTTTGTTCAGACTCTTCTTCCAGGAAATCAATACAGCTTTGGACGTCTGAGGTACTACACAACCAAAAGTACAATTTGGAAAAAGGTTTTTCAAGTTCTTCTTTATATTTGTTAAGGGGGAAAAGAACAGAACTTCCAGGCAGGGTCTGGACAATAGTCTGGTCTGGATACAGAAGAACATAGTCCAGATGTTGATCAAACTGTTTGAAGTGCCTGGAATGTTTATCTTGAGCTGCTTTCAGGAGTGCTTCTGCGGAGACATTAGAGGGCACCCCCAGTGGAAGAATCCTGCCCTTAATTCTCTTCAAATGACCATCTAGCTACTCCATAACTCTGATTTGGATTTTTACATCTTCGATCGCTTTCACTTTTTTGTTTGCTTTGATCTTTTTAGTCCTCTGATCTTCTTTTAGCTTCTTGAACTCATGAAAAGACAACTTTGTAATTGTACTGGTAGTTTTTGCAGTTGAACCCTCCAGCAATGTCACTGGTCCTCCTATGTGAAGGGAAAATAAAGATGTTTTAAGTCAGATTCTAAGACAAAACCAAGGGTAAAGACCTTTCCTACATACAGCTACAGTAATAGCCCGCATATAAGAACCTGAATTTTTCTATTTAGCCTAAATAGGTTCTTATATAAATGGTACTTAAAGCAAATTTAGGCTACCGAGATTCTTAAAATAGGTTCTTATATTCTCATATGAATTTCATCTGAATATACTATATATATTATAAATATCATCTCATAATACAGTATAAATCATTTATTTGTACCATAGAGCAATGCCTATAGGCAGTTCAGTGCAGGTACAGCATATGTCCTTAACAAAACATAACAAAGAAACTCATGTTGATACCAAATTCATAACAAGCTCAAGCAATGAGGAGAAATGAAAAACAAAAATAAATTAAAAACTGTATAGCTCTAGCCCCTGAGGTTTGATCATATCATCATCCGAGCCATCAGCTGTCATCAGGCAACCAGTCTTCATGAACAGTTTCTTAGCAAACATCTTGTCTGAGGAGAGCTTTCTCCATGCCTCCCCAGTCCATTGTGTCATTTTTGCCACAAGCAAAAACAAATATTGATATGCTGTATCTAAAGGATCTATCACTTGAAATGACCTCACATTGACTTGAGAAGCTGAGGCCTTGCCCATTGGGAGCTTTCGTTGTTTTGAAATTTTGCAATTATTTATTTCATTGGGATATATTTTGATATTTTACATTTAATATTTTGTGATTTTCACAGAGTTGGAGATGGTCAGAAAGCTTTCTTTGATACTGTAGTAGAGTACACTACTTGCAAATACTTGGGGAATTATTTGAATGGCAAACACAATAGACATACAACATGGTACTTAAGCTTGAAAGAAAAAAAAATATGTCAAGTTACTATTAAATAGATGATGATCTTAATTCAGCAGTTTCTACCTATACACTTTTTATAGCAGCCCCACTGATAAGAACCTAACTTAAAATTTTAGCCTAAATAGGTTCTTATGTGGAGGGAGCTTAAAATGAAAATTTTAGCCTAACAGGTTCTTAAAACCCAGGTTCTTATACGCGGGCTATTACTGTATTCCGAGAATTGTTTCATTTCCACAGAAAGAGTTTGTGTCTGTGCAAAAGGCTCATTTCTACGGAGGAGGCACATTTCCACGGCGGAGGCGTATTTCTATGGCGGGGGTGTATTTATACAGCAGAGGTTTATCTCTACGAAGAAAGTGTATTTTTATGAGAGAGGTCAATTTAAAAGCAATCGGCTTATCACTTGTATGGAAAAGAGGAACCAGTGCACGGCGCAGATGAGAGTTTATGTAGAAACTGCATTAATTTAAAATGTGAAGCAGTGGCACTAGTAGCCCGCCATAGCTTTGGCTCTCCTTTATGTGGTAGTAAAATTGAAATGATTTTTTTACTGAATTTTACAGGCATAGAAAGGAGAGCCACAAGCAAATATATGTTAACCATAACTTTAATGAGTATATAGTGATCCTATGAAGCCTATATATTCTAGCTAGCTAGCATAACATACATGATAAACATTTCCTCCAACCAGTTTTTTGGGAACCCCTTGCTGTGAACAGTGCATATAACATGACTAAAATGCAAGCCAGCCCTACAGAAATGCATAAAATAATATTTCTTATACCCCGAGGATGTGATCATGTTCATAGGATTTTACCAAAGTTTTCCTTACATAAAACAATACATAAAGTAGAAGAACCTGATAGCAACCGAAAGATCATATGCTGTGAAGCGTACTTTTCTATATTGACCTGCTGGGTACTGAAATTCTACGACTTTTTCCATGTCTTCTTTGCACCCTTGTGTAGAACGTTACTGGAATTTGTCCATGAGAAAGCTCTACTTGCACCACCACAACAAAATGGACAGCCTGCTTGCTCAAAGAAATGACTTCAAAGTTGTTTTATTGTGCATCCCACCCTTGAAATATGGCTGTAGTGTAGTGTCATGAGATTCTGTGAGTGTTGTGATCCAATCCCTCACAACTGCCTGCAATTTATTTCCTTTCTGTTCTCAAGTATATATAACGGCTAGGAATCATTTTGTGACTGATGTTTTTTCTTCTCTTACTTGCTTGGCTTAGGTAGCCACTTAAAACCTTCTGGCGATAGGTTAGGCTCTCTAGATTTGAGGACGAGATGTTTGTATTCTCAAAAAGCAAACACCCTGGAAAGCTTCAATTTATTCTACTTTTTCACCGTAAGAGTTAGCACTGTTATTTTTATTGAAAGAGCTACCACAGCATAGTAGAAAGACAACGGCTCTCCAGTTTACCCCCAAAATGATGCTGGTTCATGTGTGCACTGCTTAGTTGTGAGAAAATCTTGTTCTCAAAGTCGTTCTTGTCTTAGAAGCTAAAGGACTCTGTCTAGTTATTCATATCACAAACAATAAAGACAAAAGTTAGATATTGTTTATTTGCTGAAGTTACTAAGCATGAAGCATGAACGTACTAAGACAGACCAGGGACTTCTCTTAATAGACCATGGATGAATGATGTCAATTTGTATTTCTACAAGCTTGTCTTTTATTTCGAAGAGATTAGACTCATTTTCCTTGCAGGCATCACCATCATTATTTTCACTCCTTGAAGTTGTAACTCTATGCAGCCATGTTTGATCGTTTTGGAGTGACTCTTCTTCTATAAGCCCTTTTCAATCGGCTGCTTAGGGAATGATTCTGTTATGCCTCAAAACTTGTGGTGCTCAAGGCCCGAGTCCACAATTGCTCCCACGTTAGCACCATTTGTTATTGAGCTGGTTGTTAGGTCTTACCTTTTACTTAAGGTTTCTGGCTTACATGTTATTTTGCGGAAGGGAACTAGTCCTGGCAGTGCCACTTACCACTGTACCTTCCTTGACCATTTTAAACAATGCCTGCTTGGTGTTCAATTTCACATCTGCAACATTCTTCGCCAACTTTTCTTGAGTACTTTCACTTGTTCTTTGTGTGTGGTTAGCGTAGTTGTTGAACTTTTTTGTTGTTGCTACCACGTAGGGCCACAGTGAATTGCCGGGCTGCAGCATCAACATAACAAAGGAGATGAATGATTGGGTACCATTTGCTTATTTCCTTTCCACACTCAATAGAAAGTAAAAGAGTTTTATAGTACTGTAGACATGACTTACGTGGACACCTATGAACAATAGTTTTATTATGTCAGCATTCTTTTGACCTTTGGGGAAAGAAATTACTTCACTGTTTGTCTCCTTGTTAACAATGTACAATTACTTAGGCTTCCTTTCATCGTCCATATGCCATTTTCATCTGTAAACATGTCCTTCTGGTTTGGAAGGTTGTCAAGGTCTAAAATAAGTGTTGCATTTTCCTGAATGACATGTGGTATGATGCTGCTGATAAGATTGTTCTTGTCATTTCTGCAGTTTATCATTACTGGGAGGACCACAGAGGGATTTTCCAGACTTTCCTACTTGACCATTTTGCACTCCTTATTGCCTTTAAATACCATTATTTCTTCATGTCTTTACTTTCTTGGAGAGCGAGACATGCCGACCTGTTACCAAAAAGATATACTGATACAGAATGTTTCTTGTTTTCACACATGCCTTAAATTGGAGGGCTCTAGATTTTGGAGCGAGTATGAGTATGAATAATTATGAGATTTACCTTAAAGCTTTTGTGCATGTTCTAAAAAAATACACCCTGGAAAGCTTCATTTTACTTTTTCACCAAAAAAGTTACCTTAGTACGGATATTAGGGACCTTATGCAACTGCTGGAGGTGCTTAGGAAGTGGCAGAGAGGGCCGCAAAGGAGTAGGTCGTCTCGAGGCCTCCACCATTTGTTGTGAAGTTAGACGTCTATTTAGTAGACGTTTGACTCAGTTTAAAAAAAAACCTTATGGCGACCTTTTTAAGAAATCAGACTTCTTAGCTGTAGCATGCTTGGAAGATATCATAGATTAGGATGAATTTCTTTTACTCTACGATTTGAACACCTCCAAAAATCTTGATCTTGATGACTTCAGCTGATTCGACCTTGATGAGATGGATGATTCAGAGTGTTAAGTGGAATTTCAAGTTAAGAGTTGCAACCTTCCTGCTCTTGATGCTGCCTTACAGTTATCAGATGAGTTTGTTTGCCCACAGCATTCAGTTACTGATGGCAAACAAGGGTATTGCAGGTTACTTCAACAGCTGGCAATTATGTGTTGGTACTTTGATATGATTCTGTGCTTTGGAAAACTAGTTACTGTCCTCAGCATGATAACCAACACAATGCTAGATTATATTTATAACACCCACAGTCAGGGAATATTACAGCCGAGCTGAACCATTCTTCAGCCAGCCAGCTCCAGACTTAGGCTAATGCCGTCTCATTGAAGGAAGCAGCATTAAACAACTGCATTGGTTTCGCACTAGCTGAAACTGGCTCTCCTGAGAGCAATGTTAACAATAGAAGTATCTGTTTTTGAACCAGTGATCAATCAGTTTTTTTTATTTTCCATTTTATTATACTCTAAGATGCTATGTCCTAGTAGATGTTAGGTTGATATATTTTTGTTTTCAATAATAATGGTTACTATTTCACAGTAGGATTATTTGTAACAATAACAGATTATTTCTTTAGTCTATTGAGAGACACTGTGTGACTAAATTCACTATTATAGATTGGATTATGTATGGGTACTTATCTTCAATCAAGTAGTTTATCATATTCATATCAAAACGTGATTCAAATAACTACAAAATTCACAATTAATATTAAAACAAACCAATTCAGTAATGCTAAAATAAGATTTATGAAACATTTAATGAGAGCTACTGAAAATCATGATCACTTTCACAGTCACTTACAGCAGCTGAATCATAATCAGGGTCTGGAAGACTAGTTGTAGAGGCAACAACTGCTACTTCTTCTTCTGCAGAAGCTTCCAAATCTGTGCTAAGGCTCTGATCTGGAGTGGCAGGGACTGCTTCTTCTTCTTCTTCTTCTCCTTCAGCATCACCTTCCAAGAAGAGTTTACCTCCCTGAGGTTCCTTCTCAACCCCTTCCAAAGCGTTTTCAGACTGGGTTCTGAGAGTTGCTTTCTTGACCTTTTCCCTTGGCTTCTGTTTTAGCCAGTTATCTATGGCAGAGTTGACAATGTCTCTGCACTGGTTACTTTCTGGAGCATTAATGGAGACTTGCATGATGGAGTCCAGCATCTTGTTATTCAGCCGGTTGCAAAACTTCGTCTTTGTAATGTTTATGACACTACTTCCTCTCTCTTGCCAGGCATTACTGGAGGGTGAGGAAAGTCCAACTTCGGCCACAAATAGTATTTCTTCAAAGATTTAGGGATGGAAAATTCCTTGGTTTTTTAGCATGACCAACATGAAAAAGGTACTGCTATGACTTTCAGCTGGTCCTTGGAACTTCTTTCCAGAAAGAAAATACTTAACTTGGGACCACTGGCATAGCAACTTTCTTTTCTTGTATTCATCCCTGGAAAAAAATGATCAGCAATAATCCTTACTTCAGCATCACCATATTCTTTAAATCTGTCATTGTCACTTGAAGGAAGCAAAGAGGGTCAAAGATGGCATAGGCTTAAATGACTTTTGGAGAACTTCCAAGGCAATCTTTTATGTTGGAACAATAACAATCTTTTTTCTGCTCTTGATGCAAAGGTGTAGAGTAATTAAAAGGAAATAATTGTGAAAGAGAGCACAGCCTCTCAGAAATAGCCAAAGCTAATTCCACTGAGTGGCTGAGCCATGTGGAAAGGTAACTAGATATTGAAGTTGTTATAAATAAACAAATGCACACAAAAAAAACACAAAGAAAAAATGTTTAAGCTGTAATAAATCAACAAATACACAAAGGAATAAACAAAGAAGTAAAACAACGGCTGCACATACAATTAGCTGCATATAAAGTACACCAATCAATATTTCGAGATGACAGATTCTTTTAACAACTTGCTGATTATAGATCTTTTTTAGTAGCATTCAGGAGTTTAGCCCCACTGGAATGGATATTAAATTTCCTATAATTCGTCCTAGCTTTCAGTAAATAATAAGACTTCCCACAGGCCAGTCTGGCTGCATACTGATGTACTTAATCAATGCTTTTAAAAAAAGTATTGAAAGTACTTGGCAGTCTATTTGAATAGTAATCATGCATAAAAAGGTCACTGTCTAAATATATTAAATCCCCTTATTTAAGTAGCCCCAACTTGCAAAAAAGAGGACTAGAATGAGAATTAAAATCAGAAAAGGTTATTATTCCAATTGCTTGTTTTTTTTGTAAATTATTAGGAGGCCGTAGAGAAGTTGGATTTGTATTTCCCCTGGTAATTAAGCTATAAGCCAAAAAAGGATAAATAAGTGTATAGTATAACTACTGAACAAGGACCTGTTGGCTAACAAAATATGTAATTTTAGAAAGTATTTCAATACAGTGCTTAATTTTTTTGGAAGTATGCAAAATGTGGTTCTTCCAACTGAGATGCAGGTCATTATGTAGACCTAAATATTTAATAAATTTTTCTTGTTTAATCTCCTTATTGGCAATTAACAATTTGACCATGTGACTTGTTGACTTTTGAGGGGGGTGAAAAATAATAAAATTGGTCTTGTCAACAGTTAATGAGAGCTAATTTGCCATAAGCCAGTTAGAGACAAATTTTGAGATTATTATTAATAGCATCCCCTAGTTCAGCTAGACTACGATTGGAATAAAATAAAGTTGTATCATCTGGATATCGGAGCTCTGATATAATTGGTCTGAAGGGTTTCCAACTGCGTTCCAGTATCCTTTCCCACTTTAGCTCATCTGAAATCTCTGTAAAGAAGTCGATGCCTGCCTTCAGTTTCTCCAAGGGCTCATTTGTTTCCTCCAAGGCCTCCAGGGAAAAGATGGTTCGATTAACAGCAGTTCTAATCATGGAAAAGTGAAAATTAGCATCTTGAAACTGTCATGATAAAGATGCGAGAACTGGCAGGATGGCATTGAGAATAAAAGGCCCCTAATAAATTTCACCTGCTTGAGTTTAGTTATTAAGCCAATAGCTGTGGCATCATCAATCTCTTGAAGGGACAGAAGGGTAGCTTCATAACTCTGCAGGGCTGCAGTGACAGAGGCATCAAAACTGAGCTATCGTGTCTGGCATGCCTTCTTCAAGCTTTTGGCTAATAGCTTCATTGTTTTCTCAGTTAAGATTGGCCTCTTTCAGCTCAATTTGGCACTTGAGGAAACAAGCCATTTTCTTGGGGGGAATTGTGAAAATAGTACCAAAGTTTCGTTAAAATACCTACTTCCTTGACGATGTACTTTAGCTTCTGGCAGGTGTCTGTGCATGCTAGTGCTAATCAGTGGCAGACACAGTACATATTAGCAGCTTACTGTTCCTTTGCCTCAGCTTTGCAGCAACTCCACTTGTCTTTCCTACCATTACACTTGTCCCATCAGTGGACAGACCCATCAGAGTACTTATACCCAAGGGTCAGCCTGCCAAATCCTTCCTAACTAGCCCTGTAATGGCTTCTGAGTTGCAACTTAAAACGTCTTTTAGCACATTCTGAGAAGGCAGATCATTTTTCTAACGGATAAGTTTTCTTGGTCCCAAGACTGGATAAATGAGATCTGCTGGGAGGACACTGCTATATCTCAGCTTCATCAATCAGCATACCAAAGCTCTTGGCTTTCCTGGCCTCCTTTGAAAGGGTTTGCATTACGGTGTCACCAAGGGTCAAGTAGATTTCTCTAACAGAGCCTTGGGAATGATGGAAGAAGTGTTTAAGGTGGGAAATACCTAAAACCTTTTCCAGAAAACTAATTGGGGGGGTAAGTTTTCGATTAGCAATGAATTCTTTCATAAGAAAGAAAGCAGTGGCAATATATTGTGAAGAACTGTGGTTTAAACTTTATATTTTTTCTACGTAGTTTTGATGGAAAACAGGCATCCGTTGTAAAGGGTCTGCCTGTATTGCTGAGGAATGCACAATCAAAGCCATGTGCTTCTTCAGGGAATCTTTCTTTAGCCTTTTGGAAGGACTTTCGATGAATGTCATCGACTCATTCTGGGCATTCTTCATATTGTGCTTCCTTCAGAGAACACAAAAAAATCTATGGTTTTCCGTAGAGCAAGTGGACCAGTAGGGTGGATTCAGCATCCATTTCTTCTAAAACTTGTCGGGTTTCTTTTTTTCCCTTTTTGTTTGCATCATCTGCAACTCAAAGTCGCTCCTGTTCTTTCCTGCTTAAGCAAAAACTTCCAGAGATCCTGCAACCAAAGAGGTTGGAATGTTTTCTTCCGACCACATTTCCTTAACAGAGGAGGTTACTTGATGCAAGTCCAAATGATAGAGTCTGACATTTTTTGCATGAAACATCGATAATCTATTATATTCGCCAACAAAAAGGTACTGGGTCTGATTAACAAATTTTAAATAGATTCGATAATGCTCACTTGATTTACTGGACTGCACCTCTGTTTGATTTCGAAAGCAAACTTTTGCCAGATAAGTGCAAAAACCATAAGTTTGTTTGACATTTGATCTAAAATTAAAGACTGAATGCCAGCGAGTACAAATTTTGAAGAAAGAGTCACTCGGAAGCTTTCTTGTGTCTTTTATTCTTCATTCTTAGCGAAAGATTAGTTAAAAGCCATGTAAACAAACCCCATTGATTGCATCTACCAGGATTTTCAGCTGTTTTGTAAAGTAGCGGACATACTTCTGAAAGCACCGGACGTGAATTTTTTCTTGGCGCCGTAAGGCGCAAGCACCTAGGGGGGTCTGGGGGCATGCTCCCCCAGGAAATTTTTAAAATAGAATACTCAGAAATGCCATTTCCAGCGTTTCTGGAACCAAGGAAACAGTTTCCTAGGCAATGCTGGTGCTCACTAAAATTCTCTTTAAAAAGTAAATTACTGAATGAAAATGGTCAGTTGGTAAGGGGAGGGGGAGGGAGAATGGCAACAACAGAATTTTCATTGGCTTATCATTGCGAATTTATTTGATTTTCAAAAAAGATGTTTGGTAACTTGGGTTGTAGTCCATTCATCAAGAGTGTAGGCTATTCATCAAGGTCCGAGCCAAAAGCTGAATCATCACTGTCTGTGTCACAGTCCACCTCGCAAAGTCCAAGAGCAGCTGTGGCTATTTCTACCTCCTGTGAGAGAAAGAAATGAATAGCAACCGAGTAAGCACTCAGATCTTTTAAGTTTTAGCAGCAGCTTGGTTCAGTTAAAACAGTTTTGAAGCTCGCAAAAAAGCAATTAGGTAATGACTCTTAACGTGAATAGCTTTAGTCGTGTAACTGACCTCTTCAGTGCGAGCATCAGCATCAACCTCGTGGTCTTCAATTTCATCTACAGCCTCTTGACTTTCATTGCCACTCAGCCTCTCTCCTTCTGAAGCACGTGTTTCACTGACCGACTCAACTTCAGGCACCTGCAAAATTTAAACCGTATTGTTGTGAGCATACGACCATACAATACACTGCATCACTATTCAGGAAAAAATGTACTGTTATGTTACAAGGTTGTGTCAAAATAATGAGTACCTTGCTTTCCTTTGGTGAACGAGGCTTACATCTGTTCTTTGCGGACAACCAGATTTCTGCCGCCCTTTGGACTATGTCAGTACACTCCTCTGTCCCAAGCGATGGGCCATTGATGCTCACATGCATAAGTGCATTTAGCATGTCATCAGTGAGTCGACTTCTCATTCTTGTTTTGATGCGTTTAATAGCACTTCCACCTCTTTCAGGCCAACAATTGCTAAGGGGCATTGTCCATGCAGCTTCCGCCACCATAAGAAGTTCTGAATAGGTATCCTGGTAGTTCTTGCGCCGCGCAAGCAACCTTTGTAAGGTCCAGTCTGTTGTGGTGAGAATGTTGGTATCTTCAGGGCTTCTGTCATTCGGCTGCAACAGAGTTTGTGGCACTTGTTTCTTCCAAGCAACCATTTCAAACTTGAAATTCTCCCATTGTGCGAGTAATTTTGCAGACTTCATTTTCTTTTCCTCTTCTTCTTTTGTTCCATAGAAGTGGTTACTGATGATTTTTATCTCTGCCTGGCCATAGTCTTCAAATCCCGGGTTACTTTCATTTGGAAGATCAGCGATATCAAAGATGGAAAAGGCGCTAACTTGGGGTAAAGCGGGTTCAAAGCGATTGTTGATATTGTCTTGTAGGGCCACAATGTAGCGGTTCATGAGAGAACACAGCTCTTGCATCTTGTTGTCTGAAAGCGTTAAACCACAACGGTGAAGCCTTCCATTCTGAGCGAGGTCGTTCTGCAGCTTTTTCAAACATTCCTTGTCCTCTTTAAGCCTGTTTAGTTTTGCATGTGTGGCCTTGATTGCAGGAAGCAGGTGTGAGAAGTTTACGTTTCCTCGTTGAAAACGCTTGCTTAGTTGTGATAATACTGGCAAGACATCGTGGAGGATGTAAATGGTGCCGATGAATTTCACCTTTTTCATTCTTTTCAGGAGACTATCCGCTGCTGATCCCGTTGGTTCAGTTTTAAGCTGCTCCAGCGTTTCGATTATTGCGCAGAAATCCGTAAATACCGCCTCTACCGATTTATCTAACGACAACCAGCGTGTACGACAAGCCTTCTTCAGCTTTTTTGCTACCTGCTTCCTCCCCGCCGAATTTAGTGTAAGATTGTTTGTGCTCTCTTGCACTTTAAGATACGTTGCAGTGCGCTTTGCAGAATTCTCGAATAGCTTCCACAACTGGTGTAACTGTAGTTCACAGTGGGCAATGTAGTTAAGGGTATCTGCAGAGCTAGCACAAGCAAGAGCAAGTTTGTGTGCTAAGCAGTGGAAAGACAGGATCAATGGGTTCTCATCTTTTAGAAGCTTTGCCACCCCGTTTCTGGCCCCAGTCATAACAGACGCACCGTCAGAGACAAAGCTGCGCATGGTTTGTACCTCTAACCCAACGGATTGCAACTGTTCGAGGAGTACTTTTTTGATCTGTGGCGCATCTGCCGAGTTGTTGCCTTTCAGTGTGTTTGATATTGCAAGGAAACTGGTGGTGGTGGTACAGCTTTGACTGTCATAATACTGGATAAAAGTTACAAGCTGCTGCGTCAAAGAGATGTCGGTGACCTCATCAGTGAGGATGCCATAAACGCCATTACCAATCTTTTCTTTAATCTTTTCTTTGAAAACCTGTGCAAGAGTTAAAAACAGCTCTCTTTCAATTCCCTTTGACGAGTAGGGGAACTGACGTTTCAGATCAACTCCAGCAATCTTCTTTATCATCTCAAGAACCGAGGACAACTTTCTGTTTGGCAACTCTTCTTTAGCTAGCCAATAAACAACTTCGAAAATTTTCTTGCACTCTTTTCCCTTGCTCTTTTCCTTGTCATCTAATTGCTTCTGAAACTCTGATCCTCGCTGCAGCATCTCTAATTGTATGGCTAGTTTGTGTTGAGGAGAATCAGCATGTACTCTGATTGTCTCAGGCTTGAATCTTATTGCTGGGATTTCGTTAAAGTATTTCGTTTTGTTTTTGGCATTGTGAGTGTCATGTTTTTTACAAAGAAGGCAAAACATACCCTCATTTGCTTGAAAAACAAGCCACCATATCCCCGTTTCAGGATCATATGCTTCTGGTCTACTAAGCATAGAATGCTGGAATTTTGAAACCTTTTCAGTTGGGGATTTGACACTATATGCAAGTTCACAGGTGTGTTTAATACCACACAGGTTTTGCTGGTGCACATCTACGTCAGGGAAAGTGTTGTTCAACATAATTGTCTCCCTTTCTTTACCGCAAGAAGATTGAGAAGGTCCTTTACTTGTTTGAGGACTCTTTCGGAAAGCAGTATTTGAAGAGGAACAACTTGGCTTTTCACTCTCATTACTACTTGCAGGCATTGGATCACAGTTTGTTGCCTCGGACAGGCTTCTTCATCTATGGTTGCTTGCGTTAGAATTTCCCCTAAAGACACCAATATTTTTGTCAATTCATTTCTACTGAATGATCACTGTTGTCTGTGTTCAAAGTTGACATTATCAAGGATTTTATGAACCAGCATCTGCAGATGATAAAATCGACATCCATGAATTAAATCCTTTCGTGCGTGAAACTAGGCGAGTAATTTTAGTTCCGGTTTCCGGTTTCAGTTAAGTTAATCATGCCCTTCAACTTACCTTGTTTTCTCTTGGCTGTCGGGACGAAAAACTCGCTTATCCTCTTCATTCTTTCAACAGTTTGACTAACACAAGTTGCGTGTTTTACCTGGGGATTTCCCTCAAGACTTGGCCGAGCAGGAATGAGAACGAAATAGTCACTTCAATTCCGTTTAAATGAAGAGGGGAAACCAATAAAATATCCCGCCGCTCAATAAGCAATGAAAAAAGAGTTATATGGCCGTTTTGAAGAATGTAATTGATTATTCTGTTATCCTCTAGTCAGTATGTTCATGAGGTGCCTTAGTAAGAAAAATATATAATACAGTAGTAAAAAAAAATCGCCAATATTGATCTCAAAGTACCGGACGTGGAATGGCAAACGACCGGACGAAACGTCCGGCCTCCGGCCTCAAATAAAAACCCTGATCTACGCTATTTTCATTCGTTTCATGGTATCTTATTATGGCTACAGAAAGAACTAAGAAGGAGTGGAACTGAAAGCATGTTAAAAATCACGAAAAAGAACATTCAGGGCATGATTAAAACAATTTTATTTCTTTTTCTATTTCCTATTTTGCAACTTTTTAATCGTCGCCTTTTTCGTTTTTTTTCAACAATTTACAGCGAAAAACTCAAAATAGCTGGTAATAGCAGCGGAGGCCGACACATTTTGACAACCCTGCAGTTGGTAAGGCAATCTAAATAGCCCAATTTCCCTGTTAACGCCTTTTGAGGATAACTTGGAATAATGCTGGTTCTTATTTTGGAGAATGTCCGCTCTACTTCAGTGCTCTCCAAAATTCACAAAGTGTTTTTAAGGTTTTATTCTCACAGTCACAATTCGATCACCTCAGGTGCAACTCTCTGACACTCGCACTGTCACAAAAACTGCTTGTAAATCTACTCAATCGTATTCTTTTATCGCTCATAGTTTGGCCACACAGGAATTTCCGGTGATTGTTGATTTTATCTATTGGTTCAGCTTACATTCATGTCAAAGTGGCCACGTCCTATTTGTCACGCAATATGATAACAACACGTTTCCGACATTATTTGCATTTTTTGATTTTACTCCAAACTACATGATTATCTCATGCACTGTATTGCTGAAAAGTAATTTTTATGAGTAATAATTTATTTCTTTTCTCAAACAAGCACATGCCATATAGTCATCACCCTCCAAGAAAGAGAAACAAAAGCTAGTTTTGTCATATAAACCAGGTTTCAAAAGCGTGATGTATGATTAAAAAGCTGTTACGATCACTGAAATGTGTTTGTTTTCAGGAGGGCACGTGACGTGATTCAAGGATGCTGGCTGATTCCAGATTACTGCCTTTGTTAGAACACCATGCTCTCTCTCCAGCAGGCATGGCTATGCGCATTTCTGTTGATCCTGCCTATTTATTCTAATCGAGCCTAGCTGATTTCCCCCGAGAGAAATGTTGTGCTGACCCCTCAGATGCAGACCTTCTAAATCTTCAATGAATCAAGTCAGAGAAGCCCTATAGTGGCTTACTAATGATGTTGCAATATCTAGTAAGTGTATAGATTTTTAAAAAAAATTGAAGATAGGGTTAAGCTTTGTGGAAAAATTTATCTTGTTTGTGCTATCCTTGAAATACAATAACATGCCTCTACGGAAATATGACAGAGTATTAATTTTTGGTGCAGGTGCGTAAAAAAAAAGAAAATAAGAAAAGAGCTGATGTCACTTATTGGCTTAATTTGTCTGACATTGTAGACAAAAGGTGTTAAATAGCAGTGATCATTGCCAACATTTCTTCCCGTGTCTTGGACTGGTGCCTGGATTTGGTTTCGTTTCCTGCTTTTCCCTTCCATTTCTTGGTCTCCCTGGGTCCCCGGCATGCCCTTTTTCTGGTTTCCTCACCTGCAGCGTGATCTGCTTCAGCCCTCTGTTTGTTGGTGAAACAAACATCCTTTGTTTCCGCCTCTTTGCCTCTCTAGTTTGCTGTCTTCCACATTTACTCCACTACACCTTGCTTCATTTCTGCACTTTGCCTTGAATTTTTCAAGCATCAGATTGAAGTGCACTGGAACACTGTCTTGGTGAAAGGTGTTGACGGGCCAAAGATGACTCGTAACCTCGTGATAGTGTGATACGTGACCTTATAGTTGCTCTAATAAGGATATCTCCCAGAGATTTTGCTCTTTTACATGAAATGATGGGAGGCTCGTATATTTCTCTCAATAGTGGTTGATTTTGAATTAAATGCCATTTGCTCATTAAGATGTTTTTAAAGTTCGGGAAAGCAGGGTGGTATGTGGCAACAAAAGGCAGAATTGTCTTTCGCACCTCATTGTTCATTTCTAAGGCCGACTTTCATTGAGTAAATTTAACCTCAGAGGTGATTTTTCTATGAGATTGTGAGGATAACCTCTAGTGCGAAGGCTTTTTTTTGAAGTTGTAGATATTCTCAGAGAAAAGTTTTAGCTGAGGAGATGGTTCTCAGAAGTCTGAGGGCTTTGCCCTTTTTTGAGACCTTTTCTGACCCCGTGAGGGTTACAGGAAGAGAAAAACGTGTATTGAAAAGTCTCTGTCAGTTTGAAATGCATGTGAAGGTCAAGGATTCCTTGATTGTGCAGTCTCTCGCCTTTGTAAACAGTTGTATCCAGAAAGTTAGCCTCTTTATCAGATATTTCAGCCGTAATTTTAATTGTAGAGTGATGCCAGTTTCCTCTCAGTTCTCCACAATGAGAAAATTAATATCGTCAATGTATCTTCTCCGCTCAAGAGGTTTAGTTTTGCTAAGGTTCAGTATTTCTGTCTCTACCACCAACATAAAGATATTGCCAAAAGCAACTGCCATCTTTGTGCCTATTGTGGTTCCATGTGTCTGGAGATAGTTTTTGCCATTGAATTCAAATGAATTCTCTTAAAGAATAAGTTTAAGGATTCTTCTGAGGGATTGGGTGGGGTTAAGGGTGTTTTCCCCATAGAAAGTTTGTTATGCTCTGCATACTGTGTTTGTCCCTCTTCCAACTGTTGAAGCTTACACTCGTGTGGTCTCTGAGTCAGGGTCTACTGATAAGAAGGGCTACTGGATTAGAAAGCGTAAATTTAAGAACAAAAAACAAACAGAGACACGAAAGAAAACCTGCAAAGATATTAGAGCTATGAAAACGAAATCCAATAGAAAATACATAAAGAACCTCTCCAATCTAGAACTTACATATGATCAGATTAATCTGCTCTCTTGGGGATTAAAATTTGTCGCTACGCCTATAAAAAACAAAACCACATTGAAAAAACAACTTCTTACAGACTTAAGAGATTTTGCTAGGAGAATGTGGCTGCAGTATATATACCACGGCGAGGACAAAAATATCCACCCCTTCTTCATTAGGACATCTAGTTTGCTGTCTTTCACATTCACTCCACTACACCTTGGTCCATTTGCCTTGAATTTTTCAAGCATCATATTGAAGTGCTCTGGAACAGTCTTTTTGGTCGTGGTAAACTTCATCGTGCTTTCATTGAGGCAATCAGCAGTTCTCAACTACACTTTCCCTCTTTTAGCTGTCAGTGGTTTATAGATCCATGGTTCAGATACTCTTGCTTCTTTTGCAAAAACAAGGATGTGAACTTCGGTCCACTCCATGATAGAACTAAAACAGTAAAAAGCGTCATAAAAATGTGTCATGTAAAAATGTTGCATCTTCAAAACCATGCTTTGCATGCCAATTTTGGTATTTCGCAAAAAAGCTGATGTAAATACTTTGCTGCATAACAATTAACTATGCACTTAATGTTACTAATAACAATTAAGTAGCTATGCACTAAAGATTATTTAGTAGGAAAACTTGGTTGATGCCTAACCTGATTTTCTTTAAACTGGCGATCATTATCACCAGAATTCCTGAGTAGTTCACCAACATCTGGACCCTTGCAAGCATTTAAATCAGGACTGAAGACAATACTTTTTAAAATGGCCTATCTTTAGATGGGCATTTGCTTTATTATTTTGCATACTATTATATATTTTCTTTTATTTTTTTTTGTTCTCTATTTTTTTGTAGTGTGTAAGATGTAATCAGTAATTATTTTTTAATTATATGCAATTGTAGAAATTGAAATAGTGGGATGAAATTGTAAAAACTATTTTATAGTTAGTATAAGGTTTAAAATTGTAAAGCGCTATGAATAATTAGTATTAATAGCTCTATATAAATGAATTATATTATTATTATTATTATTATTATTATTGCAAAAGAAATGATAAATTATAACTGTTATGGTGCCATTTTACTCACGTTTAATTTATAAAAAATGGTCTTTCAATCTATCTCCCACACCCATGATTGTTAAGTGTCTCCCCCTGTTTAAAAGGTTCCTGTTGTTTACCAAGCAGGGGCATTCTAAATATAGGAGGTTGACGCATTAGAGGTCAAGAGGAGGTTTGCTTTGATACCATTGTGGGGAAAAAATGAGAAATAAGGCAATGGGGTGAGGGAAAAGCAATTTTTCTGAGCAGCCGGCTATGCATGATAATGCTGGGTTCTAGTCAGTTCTAGGGCCTTTAGAGACAATTTGTACCTTCAAGGCCTTTGAAAGGGGACAAACAAGAACAACTGGACTGGGGGCCAATTTTTCCAATTGTTACAGGACATGTAATGTAATATTTTATTCCGTAATAATTAAATAAATGCCCTTTTCTTTTATGTATTACTTGTTGCTTCAATCACAATGCACAGATGAATGATAAAAGTATGTCGTCTCAAAAAAACGTGGAATCAAGCATCTCTTCTTATATAAATGAAAAATATGTTCGTTGGCTCTTACTCTTGGGACGAGATCATGACAGCTTTGACTATGCATCTGTCATTTTGTAGTGAAAATAACTTTCTTTGGTGAGTAATATTAGTCAATACAAAAGGTATCTAATAATCTTCTATCAGAAGTAAAGATCTATTCATTTCACTTAACAAAAAAAAACAAGCGAGGACCAAGTGCGTTGAAGAGTTTCTAGAGCTCCACAGATGACAAACCATCAGATTTCAAAAACTTCAAGCTTACGTTGCAGCTGCTGAAAAATTGCGCAAAATTCCCCAAGCTGATTTCTCGAAGTAACGGTACAATGCTGTCAAAGTTTCCTTGAAGCTGGAAACAAATTCAATTCCATTTGCAGCCTAGCTGGTGCATAACGCCAGCCTGTGGGCCATGCAATGAATATAAATGAGCTTCCATGGCGGCATTTTGGTGTTCATGCGATGTTAAATGTCTGGTGGGAGTCATCATTTTAAAAATTTAACCGTCCATATCACTTGCAAAACGGTTTTTCTTTTTTCCCACGGCTGAGGTTGACGTGTCTGTTGAAGATCTTTTGAAGAGGATAGTCTCTTGGAAAACATTTGTATGTAAACGTATTTGTATGTAAATCTTTTGTACTATAGTTTCAATGATTTATTGACATTTGTGAATGTAAACTGCTGGAAAAACATGGTGAAAATTGGCTGTCATCACATTCACGGCATGTCAATATTGGGTTATTTGTAGGAACGAAAAATACATGTTCCATGAAAGTCTTAGTTCAGTAGAAATCAAGTGAATTGGAGCAGTTCTCTTTTAGGTAACTGGAACTAATGTGTGGACAGAAAAACTTTATAACTATTACGGTTCAGACATTTCAGTTCGCCTTGTTCGTACAAAACTAGAAAAAGTGTTGGTACAACCATATACAAATATGTTAACTGTAGTTATCCAAGAGAAACCATGTTAAGTCCATGTGGAACTTCCACCATAACTGAGACATCGATGGTTCTTGCAAATAGTCAGTTAAACTGGACAAAGACGAAGTGACCACGCACACACAGATTCACAGATTCATGTTCAAATTACGTCCACCATTCGTTTTCATCTGGATCATTACTGTAATTGTCGAGTGTGCTCCAGGGTATTCTATTTAAGTCACGATAAGAGCATTGGTGTCAACTTTTTTCAAGGAAAAGAAATCCAGACGTGTTTGCCACCTTTTATGCATCTCCAATTTGCATTTTGTTTGTGCTCCAAGACTGTTGGATTGTGATTACTGAGACCAAAGCTAGGTACTGAAGTATAAAGAACATATTCAGGATGTGTACAATAATGGTGATCAAGAAGGGTCTTTGATTATTCGGCAACATGCGTTGGTTTATCAATCATCTGATGTAGACTAAAATTTTCCATCAAATGTTTCAAGCATCTTGAGTTGGAGTTGTTTTGCAGCAGCAGATCAATGTTAAAACCCTCAACAAAATGTGTTTCTTTAGCATCAGCAGAAATGCACTCAACTAAACTGCATAGGGCCTTCAAAAAAAGCAGCACTGGTATTTGGTGGATGATACAAACAAGACAGAAAGAAGGAAGTGCATCGGTGTTGCTTAAGTTTGAGACATATTTGTTCTTATTCATCTGATTCCAAATCATGTCTCCATTTCCCCTATGGACCATCACAAGCATAAATAATAACTTCACCGCCAGCATAGGACCTTGACTGAATGTTAGACTTTCCGTCCTTAAGAAAAAGATTGTAACCAGAAACAGCGATTTCAACATCATTCCATGTTTCATCTACCCACGTCTCAGTAAGAGCTAAAATGTCAACAGAGCGCTTTACCAGTAAATTGTTCACTTATTTCTAAGGATGCTTTCCCTCTCTTTATCAGTAAGGTGTCCACAGTACTGAATAAGGGAATGAGTTCTATCATGACTATAGGCCCCGAGATTTTGAGGCATTTCTCTTGGTTTGAAGATTCTGAACTGAAGATTTCCAAGCTTTGACTTCAAATAAGTCAGCACTTCCAACAGAAATGTGTTAAACTGTTGACCAAGCATGTTGCCTGACTGTGTCAGTTAGATTGAGTGTCCTTTGTCCTCTTCTCAAAAGAGCATAGCAGTTTACTTCCGAAACCTTCTGTAATAACATCCCCTTTGGATAGCCATGGTCACCCCAAGTTTTGCCATCATGTCTAACAGGGCCTCAATAGGGGACCCTTCCATATGGTGCTTCTTGCAACGCAAATCTTTCGGCAAGAGGCTAGTTTTGTTGCTGCTGGCAGGATGACTGCCATATGATCTGTTTTTATTTTTGTGCAACACGGAATACTTTTCCCAAACTAGCCCTCTCAATTTTGAAGACGTTAAATACAATATACCTCTATTTTAAATACACAACACCTCTTCTGTAGAAAGCCCATGAGAGAATTGCCTGCGGTTAACTGGCACAGTTCATTTACGCCAAGTTCATTGGTATCAACACCCACAACAGTGGTCAGTCCATGAGGTGATCAAAAACATAGTTGACTCATGAATAAGCTATGGTAAAAAGCGCAATGTTCTGTATTTTGGTGAGACTGGTAATAAATAACAAATACCATTAGCAAATTTAAGTAGGGCAGTAAAGCACATGCGAAACATACTGCTGTCTGTACAGCACTGCAGTCACACTTGCAGTTATCATTGGTTGGTGTGTCAGACTTCTCAAATAGGAAAACTAAACAGCTGACAGCCTTCTTACTCCCTCTATTTTGTATACTCAGACTGCTGTTAAAAACACGAATAGTGCAACTTTCTCGTCACCACCCATTGCCTTTCGTTGTTTGTTTTTCTTCCTCTTACCTGATGTTGGTGGTGAAGGTGTTGGATTAACAACAACAACAACAACAACAACTTTATTTGTACTCCACATTGAATTATATATATATATAAAATACTATTACAAATAGAGAGAGTACAGGCACCCATAATAACCATTGAGGGCTAAAGAGATTGGGCAGCCTTATTTAAGTTATTAATAAATGATTTTGTTAAGGGTCAGGTACACACGACACAGCTACACAAAAAAAAAACTCGTTAATGAAAGAGAAAAATTCAGACAGTAAACAAAAAAACTAAGTGTGCCAGTATTAAGCAACGGAAAGCCAGAAAAAATATATTGATGATAAATTTGCAATTAATATTTGTCAATAAGAAGTGACTTTAGCTTATTTTTAAAACGTTTGAGAGGAAGGAGCTTGATGTCATCACTTATATCATTCCAAACTTTAACACCCTGGAACCATTTGTTTAAAATTCCATACTTTGTTCTGCAATCCTTGTCAAAAATCTTGAAACACTTGTGTCCGTTACCCCTTCCCCAATGTTGATTTGGGTATTACAGTGGTCTCAGTGCTTCAAAATACGCGTGGCTCAACATCAGGGAGGGAGAGGGCACATTACAGTGTGAACAAAAGTGTGAGGAGTAAATCTCAAGAACTTTCTAGAAAATTCAAGAGAACCGGTCTCTGTTTCAACGATTTGTGACGAGTATTGTCTGAAGGGCGTGGACGGGTATGGCAAACGTACTATGAAGAGTAACTATTCTCGCCTACAGTGTTTACGTGATGAGTGTTCTTGTTTTGACTGTTCTACAGTACTAGATATGAAGTAACAGGTAAATAAAGAAGCTACGCATACTTTTGAGGACAGATGATTTTAAGGTACTTTTGTGCTAAAACACTTAGTGGTACGGGTCTGCCTATTAGCAAATCGCGATAGTGTTTAAAGGTATAATTGATAGCATTACTCGTGCACGTGCGTATTATTTATGTCGGATTAAAGGCCTATCCGTGCAAACAGTTGCCAGCCTGTGCAAAATTTCGGCTGTGAGTGTTTATAGAATTGAACATGAGAAAACTTGTAAGAGGCGTACTTCTGAGGAGACGGGTAAAAGAGGTCACCATAACAAGCTAATTGAGCGGGACAAAAGACAACTGATACGATGCATTACAGTTTTGAGGAAAAGAGAGGGGAACTTTACCTGTAAAGCAATTATGGACGAAGCTGGAATTCAAGAAAAGGACGTATCTGTAAGAACAGTTTCTCGTTTTCTCAATTCACAAAATTACTACTATTTGCAGAGTCGCAGAAAGGGGCTCATGACAGTGGAAGACCACATCAAAAGGGTTAAGTTTGCAAAGTACATGAAAGCGAACAACAGCCAGGACATTTGGACAGAGGGAATTGCCTTTTATCTGGATGGAACAGGATTTACGTACAAAAGAAATCCACTAGATCAGGCTTGTGCACCAAAAGCTTGGTCTGGAGAAAGAAATCTGACGGTTTGGCTCCGAGATGCATAGCAAAGGGCCACAAAGAGGGGACTGGGGGCAAAGTCTTTTGACTGATGGTGGCAATTTCTTACAATAAAGGAGTTATCTGCTGTGAACCATACGAGAAGATGAATGGACATTATTTCGCTGCATTTATAGATAACCATTTTGATCGTCTATTCACAGCTGCTGACAAAGGATGTACCTGAACATTTTTACAAGATGGGGATCCCTCTCAAAATTCAGCTTTAGCTCGTGCAGCGATGCAGTGCACGAACAGTACATTAATGAAACTGTGCCCAAGATCTCCACATCTTGCAGTCATTGAAAATGTGTTTCCCATGGTGAGTAGGATGTTAAAAAGACAAGCATTGCAGCAACAACTACGCTGAGAAACATTTGAACAGTTTAAGAGTCGTGTCATCAGTACATTTCACTCTATACCTGTAGAAACTGTGAACAATTTAATACGCTTTATGCCGAAACGAATTGATATGGTGATAAGAAGTAAGGGGAAGCGTATAAAATTTTAAAGAAATACCACTAAATGCATTCTGTGGATAATTGCGTGAGATTTCTTCTCGCAAAATGTTAACTTTCAGGGAGAAATAACTAACTTACTATTCGCCAAAAATAAGGGAGGAGGGGTGGTGTTGCATATTACAAAACATAACGGGGTTAAAATTGCTCAGATGGCCATGAAGACAACGTTTAGTGATTTTTACATAGCAGATTTATTTTTTGCAGCTAATTTATCAAATTGATCCAGGTCTTTAAATAAACGACTTGAGTGTTCGGTGAAACTGGAGAAGGTGATTATTCTTATAGCTTTGTTTTGCAAATTAGATAAAGGTTGCAAAGTTGACTGATATGCATTACCCCAAGCAATTACACAGTAAATAAAGAACGGCTCTACTAAGGTATAATACAAGCTGAGTAAGGTTTTTGTGTTCAGGAAATAGCGAAGCTTAGAGAGAATGCCTATACTTCTTTTGATTTTTTTGGCCGTATAGTTTATGTGGCCCTTTCCAACCAACTTTTGAGTCTATATAAACTCCAAGGTGTCTAATGCAATTTTCTTCAGTTAATGATTGATTATTTATAAATAGTATAACCTTTTTGGGAATTCGTTTTTGCACTGGATGAAAAATGACAAAATTTGACTTTTCAATATTCAGTGAAAGCTTATTTTATTTGTACATAAGCAAGCTCACTGTTAATTTCACTTTCAAGAATGTTAATGTCCTTATGCTTAAAGAATAAATTTGCATCATCTGCAAAAAGGTGAAAATCCAGTTGTTCTGAGCAATTGTGTAAGTCATTGATATAAATTCAGAAAAGACGAGGCCCAAGTACTGATCCTTGAGGTACCCCACAGCAGAGAGTTTGTATATCAGAATTTACAGAGCCAAGTGACACCGTTTGCATTCTGTTTCTCAGACATGAGGTAAACCAGTCTTTAACAACACTTCTGATACCATAGAATTGAAGCTTTGAAAGTAAAATGTTGTGATTAACAGTATCAAATGCTTTGCTGAAATCTAGGAATATTCCACAAGAGTAATCATAATCTTCAATAGCTTTTTGCACCTGGTCGATAATGTACGAGAGTTTTACCAACCCTACCCCTCACAGTTTTGTGACGTTAAGCAGCACTACCAAATTAGGGCTAGGGCTACCAAATAAGGTAATGAGCACGTGTGTGCTGAGTAAGCTAGAACTGGACGAGTCGTAAAAATATTGTGAGCGCGAGTTTTCCTTTGAGGTTTTTTCATCGAGTTTCGTGAGAGTTTGTGAGTCGGATTGAAGCGGAATAAACCAGGAAACCATGGTATTGTGAGTTCTATGGGCTGTGTTATTGTTCAGCTCATTTTTGGTGCAGAGACCAGGACGCGCTGAAGAAATACACAACGCTAGCGAGACAGTTCGAGAAGCGAAGTGATCCTTTCTCGGAGTCAAAACAAACATGAGCGACAGCGAAGAATCGAGCGACGAAGAACAACGTATCATAAAAGAGATCGACAAGGAAATTGATAAGGTCAAGTACTTCATGGAGGAGATAGATGAACTGATCGAAATTCAGGATTATTCGGAGATGGAAATAGTCAACAAACGAGCTGTGAAAATCATTACAAAGCTATTGGATCTTATTTCACAGGCAGAAGAATTAAAAATTGAGCGAGGATTGTCGCCTCGGACGGTGAGACAGTGGAGAAAAGACATTAAATCAAGATATGCAGCATCTGTTAGCGAAAACGAGAGGCTTAGAAAGTGTTTAGATGATGAAGAGGAAGAAGTTACGCGACAAAAAGAAGATTTGAAGCGGCAGCAACAGTTGGAAGATGAGCGGCGATTGTACGTGTTATGTGAAAAACAACAGGAACACGAGCGTGAGTTGTGGAAGGAAAAGCTTGAAGCTGAATTACTTGTGGCAGAAAAGAAATTAGAAATGGAGAAAACAGCTGTTTCCAGCACCACAAAGTTACCAAAATTAAAGATAACACCGTTCAAGGGTACCGCCGGCGACTGGATTAGATTTGAAAACATGTTCCTGACGCAAGTTGATGCGAAGTCGATTTCCGACGAAGAGAAATTCGGGTACCTTCTAGAATCCGTTAGCCCGAAGGTGAGAGACAGAATTGCAAATTTAAAGCCTGGAACTGTTGGTTACAAGACAGCGTGGGATAGACTAAAGAAAGAATATGGGCAAACAAAGGTCGTCATGAAGGCGCACATGGAAGAAATCATCAATTTATTTCCAGTCAAGGGCTCCAATTATTTCAAGGTGCAAGAATTCTACGAGAAACTGAGTAGGAACTATGACGCCCTTCAAACCCTCGAAGAAGGCCAAAAGTTACAAGGGTTTGTTATGACTACGCTCAACAAGCTACCTCACGTAAAGCCCGATCTGGTGAGAGTGGATGACAGTTGGGAGGAATGGTCCATGGAAGACCTGATTGATGCTCTGCAGAAGTGGCTTAGGAGAAATCACGTCGAAAGCAGCAAATGCGAAAAACATCTTTTCTCACAGAAGCAAGGAGATAAACTGAAACCCTATTGCCTTTTCTGCCGAAAACAAGAGCACTGGAGTGAGGACTGTACCCTAGTAACAGCATTAGCGGACAGGAAGAAGTTCTTCATAGACCACAATTTATGCTTTAATTGTGGAAGGCAAAACCACAGAGCAGACCAGTGCCGTAGGCGTGGCTGCGCCAAGTGTAAACACAAACACCATAGAAGCATATGCGATAGACCGGAGAGGGAAAGCAGTAATCCAGATGGAGTGTCATTGACAGTCTACTCCAATTATGCAGAGGAGAAAGTGCTACCTGCGATTATTCCCGTCAGTATTGGGGGGCAAGTGCTTTGGGCTTACCTAGATACAGGATCTGGACGCAACTTCATTTCACGTGAAGCAGTCAAGTTAGTAAAGTTGAAACCGACACGTCACGAGACTCGCGAAATCTTGACAGTCAATGGAACCAAAGTCCAGACAATGCCAATCTTTGACACCCATATTAAGTCCCTGGACGGGAAATCATGCGAAGAGGTGGAATTCACAGGATCGAAGTTAGCTGATTTTACTACAGTGAGAAGGCCAGACATGAATCAGCTGAAGTTGAAGTACTCACATACACAAGACAAGCGGTTCTACATGACGTCCACAGGAGAACATCAGATACACCTCATTCTCGGAGACGGTGTTTATAGCAGAATAAGGACGGAGAGAGTACTCAAAGGGCACCTGGGAGAGCCGCTGGTAGAGGAGACAACGTTCGGTTGGGTGGTCCATGGGGGAGACGAATATGGGAGTGGAAGCAGCTGCATGTACATGAGAGAGGTTAATGACTATGAGAAACTATACAGTTTGGATGTACTGGGAGTCGAGGGCCGGGGAGAGAATGATCAGCTGGATGTTCTGCGTGACTTTAAAGAGAGTGTTGTCAGAAAGCAAGATGGAAGGTATGAGGTTGGTTTTCCTTGGATACCGGGAGCTACATTAACGAACACAAATGAAGCACTTAGCAGAAAGCGGCTTGAAAACGTGGAGAGAAAGCTTTCAAGAGATAAGAAACTGAAAGGAGAGTATGGTGGCATAATTGAAGAGCAACTCAGAGCAGGGGTAATCGAGGAAGCACCTCAGATTCCATCTGGAAAACGTGTGTTTTACATGCCTCACAAGCCAATTGTAAAGCAGAGTGCAGTTACGACTAAGGTTCGCATGGTGTTTGACGCAAGTGCTAAGCCCCAATGATTGCATGATTGCTAAGCATCAATGATTGCATGTTCACTGGTCCTCCGTTGCAGCCGCTTCTTTGCGACATAATGATTAGAGTGCGAATGTCCACAAGTCTGCTCCTTGGAGACATAGAAAAGGCGTTTCTCCAGATAGGTGTGAAGGAGGAGGATAGAGATGCAGTCAGATTCTTGTTCAACATTAAAGGAACAGAGAAACATTTAAGATTTACACCTATACCTTTCGGAGTTGAAGCAAGCCCTTTCCTACTGGGAGCCACTCTGCAGCATCACTTTGAACAACAAGGGTCAGAATTTGAAGAGACAGTGAGAGCACTTAAGGAGAACACTTATGTTGACAATCTCATGCAAACGGGAGGAAATGTAGAGAAACTCATGCGGTTCAAAGAAGAGAGTACTGCCATACTTGAGTCTGCCAGGTTTCCGGTGCACAAGTGGGAATCTAATGTCAAGTTTCTTGAAAGTGAAGGCACGCCAAATCCAAGCAAGATCGTCGGACATGTGTGGAATAAGAATGATGACACACTGGAGCTGCTTGCAAAGCCTTTTCCACAAGAACATCCAGTGACCAAGCGCGCTATACTCAGTTACCTAGGAACTGTCTATGACCCACTCGGGATAATCTCGCGCACCATGCCTGAGGGAAAGCATATTTATCGAGAAGCCTGCGATGAGAAGAAAGGCTGGAGTGCAGAAGTTTTCCCCAGATTGAAGAACCAATGGTTAAGGTGGACGAAGCAACTTAAAGATGTAAGGGTACCTAGAAGTATTGCTTCATTTGTCGGACAGATAGGAGCAGTCCATTTACATATTTTCGCAGATGCCAGCATTCTAGCATGCTGTGCAGCAGCTGTTGCGGTGGTAGAACATGAGGCAGGCGTGACCAAAGGACTTCTGACCTCAAAGTCGCGAATATCAAAGAGAAGTACATCAATAGCAAGACTGGAGCTCGTGAGTGGCTACATGGCAGTAAACATGGCGAAGAACCTCAGCACTACTCTCCAGCAATGGCCCATTCAAACCATCAACATTTGGATGGACAGTATGGTAGCACTATATTGGATAACCAATCCTGGGAGAGGATGGAAGGTGTTTGTATCAAATAGAGTAAAGAAGATAGCAGAAACCGCTGGTCCAATCAACATCACTTGGAAGTACTGCCCATATGAGTTGAATGTAGCAGATCTCGGAAGTAGAGGGGCAACCATTGTGAAGATGGAGAGAGGAAACTGGTTTGCCGGTCCGGATTGGCTCTTGGACAAAAGGCAGTGGCCGGAGCAGCCAAGGCTGAATAGCACCAAAGAAACAGATGAAGAGAGTAAGGTCCCCCAAGAAGCAGTTCTCCGCACACAAGAGCGCATGTTCGATGAGTGGGACGCCTTGTTAGAAAGAAGGACCTACTGGCGTACAATGAGAGTAACAGCAAGGGTGTCACGCTTATCAGAAACTGCAAAGCGAGAAGCAAGTCAAAGAAGATGTCAGGCCCATTAGTTACGGAAGAAATCACAACTATAAGTGACTACTGGGTAAAGCGAGTTCGGAAAGCAGAGGATACATGTCTGAAGTCCCCAGGATGGAAGTTGGTCAAAGATAACTGTACAGGAGTTCTCAGGTGTGAAGGCAGAATTAAAGGATATAGGCCGATTTACCTTCCTGGTGGTCTACTTGCAGAGAAGCTTATCTTTAACATCCACAATCAGGTCATGCATCTTGCTGTCGCGAACACGATGGCGAGCGTGAGAGAAAACTGGTGGATACCAAAGTTGAGAGCGAAAGTGAAGAAGGTCATTAAGAACTGCAACATCTGTAAAGTATACTCCACCAAACCTTATGGAGTGCCATCAACTAGTGCTTTGCCAGAATATAGATGGAAAATGCTAAGGCCAATGCATGGAAACGCTGGAAAAGGGAGTATGTCCATAGCCTAATGGAAAGTCACAGGCTTAACAAGGAAACGGGAACTATACCTCAAGTGGGAGAAATTGTACTCATCATTGGAGACGAAAAGAACCGCGGAGAATGGAGAAAGGGAAAAGTAGTGCGTCTTATCAAAGGCAAAGATGATGTTGTTAGAGGGGTGACATTGTTACACAAAAGGCACACTATTGACCGCCCGCTTCAGTTAGTTTGTCCCTTGGAAATCAGAGCGGTGGAGAATGTTGACCAATCTCAAAGGGGGGAGAGAGATCAAGCTGATGAAGGAGAACAGAGACCAAGACGAGCTGCAGCTCAGAGGGCTGCTCAGAGAATCACAGAACAATTGCAAGAAGAAGAGAATTGATAAACTGAACTGTGTTTGAGTATAAACCGGACTGTCATATAGCAAATCGGATTAGTTTCAAGTTACGTTTGATTGTAAAAATTGCGTGCTACAATTTTTAGGGGAGTTGTGTACGAGAGTTTTACCAACCCTTCCCCTCACAGTTTTGTGACGTTGAGCAGCACTACCAAATTAGGGCTAGGGCTACCAAATAAGGTAATGAGCACGTGCGTGCTGAGTAAGCTAGAACTGGACGAGTCGTAAAAATATTGTGAGCGGGAGTTTTCCTTTGAGGTTTTTTCATCGAGTTTCGTGAGAGTTTGTGAGTCGGATTGAAGCGGAATAAACCAGGAAACCGTGGTATTGTGAGTTCTATGGGCTGTGTTATTGTTCAGCTCAATAATACTTAGTACTGCATGATCACTTGAATGGTGTGAACGGAAACCAAATTGCTTGTTTTAGATTAGGTACCTTTTTTTCTGAGAAGTCTGGCAACCGACTGAACATGAGTTTTTCTAGCAACTTATAAATACTGATAAAAGAGAAATAGGCCTATAATTGCTACAGTTTGTCTCAGAGTCCTTCTTAAAGACTGGTATTACTCTAGCCAACTTGAATTTATCTGGGATAATTCCAGTAAGAAACTATGTATTAAATATTACCTGTAAGGGACCTGCTTATTTGGACTTAAGGATTTTTAGAATTGAAATAGGAATACTAAAAGGCCCCACAGCTTTAGCTTGAAGTTGAGCTATTTCTAATTGAATTTCATCTGCAGTGACTGGGCACAGAAACAAACTATCACATATGGGAGGTGGCATAAACTCAGCAGTTTTTGTAGCACTGGGAATGGAACTTGCAAGATTACCACCTATATTGGCAAAATAATTATTGAATGCATTAGCTATTGCTTTGGGATCAGTTATTTCACAATTTTTCCAGACTATTTTGCTTATTGATTGATTTACCTGTGGGTTAATTTGAACAATTTAATTCCTTGCCAGATTTGTTTCCCATTATTTACGTGAATTGAAGAGAAATTATTGTCATAACTTCTTTTACTTAATTTAATTAAATGATTCAATTTGTTCCTGTAAAATTTAAATTTAGCATGGTAGTAGGTAGATTTAGTCTTTAGGAATTTCTTAAATAAACCAATCTTTATTCTGATAGAGGTCCTGATTCCAGAGGTTATTCAGGGTTTGGATCTACTTTTTAATCCTTGACTAGATAATTGCTTGATTGGTGTATGTGTATCAATAACCTCAGATATTTTATTATAGAAACTATCAAACATACTACTTGGTTTGTAAACATCTCGAAGTGAGACATCCCAGTTTCTTGATTGAATGTCAGTAACTAGGGCTTGCTTATCAAAGTTTGAATAATTGCGTTCAAAAACCTTGATGTTTGCTGGTAGAGAGGAAAGTTTACTTACGATAAGAAAATTTGGTAGATGGTCAGATAAGTCATAACATAAATTTCCATTGATGGAAAAGTACTTAAGAGAATTAAAGAAAATATTGTCCTTGTTGGCTGCAGAATTTGAGGTTGAAAGTAATATGAGCCCAAAGTATTCAGGACATTTTCTGTACTAGGATGTGATTCAAATTTGAGGAGATCTAAGTTGAAATCTCCTAACAAAACACAATATTTCTTTTCACAATGAATCTTATCAACTATCATGTTAAGGTGATTTAGGAAGTTATCCAAATTACCAAGGGGGTGCCTACAGAAAACCCCACAGATAGTGTTGTGCCCTGAATCATTTTGAATTTCGATCCATAGTGATTCATAGTCATTTTGAAGTAGTATAGGATATGGGGGTACGAGAACATTTTCAATATTCTGGATTTGACCTTGGGTTTTTGATGACGTCAGCATTTTCTCCGAATTGGATTCCAGGAATTTGACCTTGGGAATCCGGTTTGACTTTAATATTATCTAAGTCCAACCATATCACCATACTGAAATAGTTTGCGACTATATATTATTTTGGTTTTTGGGTCAGGATCTGGCTGATAGTTTTGATATTTATCCTCATTTGTGAATACAACATGAGAATGATTATTGGTTATTTTTTGAGTCCAAAATCCAACCTATCTATATTTGCTTTTGCAATCATATCCAATATTTTGTCGACTATTGGATTTTCAATTATTTTCTTTTTATAAGTATCTAAAATAGGATCTAAATAAAAGCTCTTGCCGCATTTATAATTGGCTTTTTCTATTGTTTGCTCAGGCTCAATGAGTACTGATCCTTTGTATCCTTCACAAGTATTTTTTATGATGCCAGATAGTAGTAATAACCCACGGCATGGAATTCTTGGTTCTTTTAGCTGGTTTAGTTGTTATAATGCTGATTTTAGAGCGGTTTTTGTGTGTTTTTGTACGACGTTTGACTTAATATTTGAGATAAGTCCCATTTCATTGGTCAACTTTTGTTTACTAAGGCTTACTCTACCATTTGGAGGAATATACATAGATATTAAACTAGTGCCTCCTGATAGAGATTGTTGTTTAGCTAAAAGACGGATAAAATCTTCCATATATATATTATGAATATAATTATGGAATGTAAAAAGGTGTGTTAAATAGATACTGACTTGTTTTTAGTTTGTGGTAATTTTATTTTTCAATTCGGTGGATAACTTTATAATGCATTTCTAGTGTGCCCTTATTATAAAAGTGTTTGATGCAATATTTACACGGCTCTCTGATGCCTTTCATATAATCATGGATATTCATGCATATTTTACCATAATCATTACTGAGTATAAATGCATAGCCATTATTAACGTACTTCTTCTTCATTTCCAGTTGGGCTTCTGACACATGATAATTATTAGTTGGTGATTTGAATTCAATACAGAGGCCGTTATAATCTTTGTGGTAATCGAGTACCATTAGATCGGGCTGTTCGCGGGTATATCCTTTCTTATATGAATCTAGTCTCTTATCCTCAGTATCTTGATTCTCTCTCAGACCGGCTACTAATATGGAATCTGGATAATATCTCCTTATGAGGTCCACTACTTTATAATGGAGGTCAGTCTCATTGCCAATCATGATCATCTTATTCCAGGGACTATCAAACAGTTTATATTGGCCATATTTACGGTTAGATGGGAGGACTTGCGATGTTACCCAGTGTTTGAACTTTTTTGCAGATTCCAGTCTTGAGGATAATACTAAGGAGTAAAATCCAGACTCATTTTCAAAAGTATAGTAACGATTCTGTGTTTGGGACCTGCCATCCCCATTTTGGGTACGTCAGCTAATCAGTTGTTTATCCTCACCATCAATATGAATCCAGATAGCTTTTCTTACATTACTATAACCAAGGATCTCAGCAATATCCTTTCCTCGAAACCAAACATTTTGCTTATCATCAATAAATGATGTCAGCTCAATTTTTAAATCTTCATTAACAAACTTTTTTTCCATCATGCTTTTCATATATATAGGTTACATAAATATTATCATGCAGACCAAAAATATGAAAAGCATGATAGATTAAAAAGTATGGTGGGTCTGAGGTGCCGTTATCAGCACATTAGACCTAAGGCCCGTCGTGTAGACGCCCCTTAGTGAAATGTCCACGCCAACAATTGAGGTATTTTGTTGAGGTCGCGTTTCACGACCCCAACCTACTGTCCACGTTTTTTGAAGGCTGGTAGTTTACTCATTCTCCTCTTCCTCTTCCTCCGTTTCAAAGATTGCACCTAAAACGCCAGTTAATGTCATCTCAGCTGATTCCAGCTTTTTGGAGATTAATTTCTTGTGGTATTATGTCGCAATCTCTTCTTCCAATTTTTGGATTATGGTGAATAGTGCATTAAGCTCGGATTCCTTACTCTGGATTTTAGTATCAAGCTTTCTTATATGATCGTCCATATATACTATTAGTTAGATAAATCTTGTAAGCTGCTCAGTGGAATCCAACTATTAAAGTCGTCACTATAACCCAACCATTTTACAAGAGGTTGTTTCTTCTTATAATCCCTCCGAATGACCTTTTCAATGCGAAATACATCCTGTTTTGCTGTCAGTAATTCTGGCTCATAAAAGCTACCTTGTATTTCCTCATTAGTGAGATCTTTCAATCTGTATGTGATCGGGTTCGTGGATTGGATTTTATCGATCAGGAATATCTCCTCTGTCCATTTAGGTGTGTACCCTTTATCGAACACCTTGTACTTACTTATCCTAACTTTATCACCAACCTTGAATTTGGGCTTAAATGACAATTGCTTCACGATCATATCTCCATATAGACTGTAATACACGGTTCAATGGAACTGTGTTTGGTGTTATTATACTGCTCCAATATTTTTGGCAGTATGTCTAAATATACGGTATTACCCTGAACAGTAAACTGCTTCCACATTTTGGTTTTAATTGTACGGTTCCATCTTTCACATACACTAGATTTTTCCTCATTCTCGGTTGAATATAGTGTTATATTATTCTTTTCCAACAGTTCTTTCATATTTTTGTTATAATATTCTTTCCTCTTATCAGTCCAAAGATATTGTGGTTTACGGCCCTCTTTGAATATAGTTTTGAATGCTTCTGTGACAGTTTCCCCTTTCTTATCCTTTAATGGTACAATCCAGCCATATTTGGAGAATAGATCAAGTACCATGAGAAGATATCTATAACCTTTGTTCCATTTGCTGAACTGTTGCATCTCAACCAGATCTGAGCACCAAATTTTGTCAATACCGGTTGTAATAACACGCCGCCGAGTAAAGTTGTGTTTTATTGGTTTATGTAATTCGTCTGCTAATTGTTGTTGCCAACTGTTACTCAACGGCTTTTCTAGTTTAAACCAAGGCTGAGTTTCTGTTTTGTGTTTATTAGATTTCTAGCTAACCAGTGTCCCCATTGTCGTTCATTATAAGGAATGGCGTCTAACGATTTTACCATTTTACGGTCAGCTTTATTTTTGCAATTTCGGTTATCACCACAAACACTATAATCAACATCATGTTGCATGGCCACGGCATCGGTTGGCCCAGTTGGTTGATCATAAATTTCTAATATTTCACCAGTTTCTGGATTGTATCTGACTTAATTTTCGAGATCATTGTAAGGGCCTGTATACCGATGTCCTGGTAAGGTCCATCCGCCTGCGGGTCTTGGTAATTTACCAATCTGCTTGTGGATATCTATAGCACCACCATCAAGATCTTTCCTGTTTGTTTTGTAGTTTTTCTTTGGTCGTATTTTGGTTGATAATTGGTTAAGAGCTTGACAACTGACATTCTGGATTATTGGATTTAATTTGTCCAAAGCATAATCTATAGCTTTTTTCTGTAATTTAGGGTTTCTGAGCGCTTCTGACCCGTAATATCTCCCCATCTCAACTGCTTTTTTACCCATCCGTGGAAGCCTGTGATGTGCAAATGCATCCAGAGCATTACCAGCTACTGTCTCTATTACGCCTGCCCCTAGGACAGGCTGATCTAGTTTCCCTTCTTGACAAACTTAAACTTTTTTATTCCGCATTCAGCACAAGTGCACCAAAACATAAGTCTACCATTTTTGGCAGTTTTATAACCCGAAGGTTCTACACATTCTGTTTGCTTCTTTTGTTTAGCACAATAAGATTTCACCATTATTATATATTTATGTTATATAATTATTGTCTAATCACTATCACTACCGTCTGGAACATAAGTTTCATGGCTACTATCTGACTCATAATCACTCTCACTCAAGGGCTCACGGTTGCAGCACTCGAAACATCCATATTGATTCACATAATGTGAAGTAACTTCTTGACAATAAACACAGAACTTTTCAGTCATCTTATGTATATGGATTACATAAAATAGTTTATCAGAATTTGGTGATTTATCATTTGATTTGTGAAACTGAATTTGGGGTTATGTATAACGTCTAATAATGATTTCCCTTTCAGCCTCTCCAGGAGATAATATAAGAACCAATAACCACACAAAACACTGTCTCTTTCTTGTATTTCATCTGACGAGTACACCACTTTTTTACCACTTGTTTTCAGAAAATATTTAATTTCATTGGGCATGATTAATCCAAACGGGTCAAAATATTCACAATATTGTTTATCCACGTTTCTATAACAAATCCAATGATTGCCCCCGCCCATTGAATCATCAAGATTAATTATTCCTGTTTCCAATTTGTGTATTTTATTTGGTAAATTATCGCGGCTGTAGATGCCTCTGAAATATTTTATTCCTAATTGTTTGGCCCATTGTAACAAATCAATATTCGACAATGGTTTGTTTATGAATCTTACAGTATTGTTCCTAGAATTGGGATTGAATTGAATGGGCTGTTTTTGCCGAGCAGCGTTCCCTTTCCCTTTCTTTTTTTTTTTACTCCCGCACCAACTGGGTTTTCCGATGTTCCAAAGAAAGGTGGTGACGTGTAGGGATACGGATTATACATTCCATGGCCATTAGTTGTATTGGGAACATAAACAGATGTTGTATTAGCGGAACCGGTTCTGTCAGCCTGCAGTCCTTTTCCCGTCAATGCATTTAGTAACAGGGGGACTCCTATACTCGCTAGTAGAGTTCCTACAAAACCACCCTGCTGTGTTTTCGTCGGTCTGATAACTAATCCATTACCAGTTTGGAGAGCATTAAGAATATCCCTTTTCTGGCCTGTGGAGAGTAAATGTTTGTACGCAATCAATTGTGCTATTATATCCTGTGGAATAAGAAAACCTCCTCATTGACCTTTTCCGAATATTTTATCCACACCAAGACTGGCTAATCCTGACAACGCTCCTGTTACAAGTGGAGCGGCAGCCTATTTGGCTAGGGGCATGGCCATAGGTAGCAACTTGCTTCCTAAATTGATTAATGATCCCCACAAACTACCACCCTGTCTAAAGCCTTCCTGATTTGTGTTTTTGATATTTTGATATCCGATCCTGTACCCTGGCTCATTGCTTTTCTCAGCTTATTGATCTGAGTTTTTGTGAGCAATTATTTATGTGGTCCGGATAACTCATTTCTGGCTAATCTGATAGTTATTGCTGAGTTATTATTGTAAGCTCTCGAAAGCTTTTCCAATTGTCCTTTACTAAGTGACACACCATAAGGATAATATTTTGTCATTACTTAAATATAATATATGTGACATAATTTTAACCATATTCAATTTACGATCTGACTATTAGCTGTCTGGGCATTGATATTCGCATCATTGATTATGAATACAAACACGTGTTGGGGTTTCGAAGAAACCAGAAGAGATTCGGAAATGCCCAGCTCTCTGCTGGCTTCTATTTGGTCTTCCAATATTTTCTCTCAAATAAGTCCACTTATGATTTTTAAGGTATTGGCTCATGTAGGATGATTGGCCCTCACTGTTAAAGGTTATCTGTGGAACATACAATTGCATCCTAGTGATAACCACTCTGCAATCAGCCCTGGCTTGCCAAATTAGATTACCATCTGACTCAATCTCAAAATTCATCTCAACTCTTGTATTAGGTAACAGCTCATCTTCTAACATTTCAAAGAATGAGTATCGGTTCCGTGGAATTTCTGTATTTACTGTAGATGAGACCTCCAAAAGTGCTTTTCAAAGGGCAAAACCTTTATTGTAAGCTGCTCGCCTTTTAGCTAACTGATTTGTACCGCTAACTTCAAATTCCCGCTCTTCCGCATTTCTGGATGTATCAAGATAGAAAAACTCATTACTAGCTGTCTTGTCAGCGTAAGATGGACTGTACTCAAGTAAGTTCTTAATATTAACCGCGTGATTCGCGTCATTGCAATCATACGCTTTCTTACCATTGAGCTTAATATCAAAATGTTTCAACAGTGAGTACGACCCGTTTACAATTCCATTATGATCTGCTACTGCAATGTTACCACCATTAGCCAGCAAGACTACTTTAACATCAAGACTGATACGAGCATTATACCAGTCAAATAGTGTAACCTCACCACTGTTATCAACAACAAATCTGTAGCCATCTTTCTTTTGGTGAGCATTATTGGCGACAGTTGTATTTAGTGCTGTTTCTAGGTCAAAAATAACATCTTCATATCGTTCAACATACTTTGGATCTCTAAATGATTTCATATAATAATAGATTACATAAATCTTCTCATCTGACCCCGGATATTAATTGATTCACCCTCTCATGAATCTCGTAATCGCTTAGCTCTCTTGATCGTGGATTTTCTATTGGTAAGGCTGCTACTGGTGATGCTGCTACCGCTGTCTTTTTATTCTTTTTGCTTAATAACTGAATAATTTTATCACCGGCTTTTTCGCCCGCATATTCACCAGTTTTAGTAGCAGCTTTTTGAACGGCCTTTTTTGTTGCCGTTTTAGCAGCTTCCTTCATGATCTTTCCAAACAACTTTCTGCCAATCGTTTTGAAAACATCGGTAACACCTTCTTCATAAATATGCTTCTTAACATATCTTCCCGTTTTAACATCATAACGTTTCTTAAATTCTGATTGTCTCATTGTATATTATTAGATTACGTATTATGCTGGTTTGGATCGCAATATCAATGTCATAAACCAGTCAATCTTATTTAGTACAATTGGTCACCCCAGTGAATCTGTTATGTAAAACCTCATTTGTGAAATATTAAGCTGGGAAACTTCATCAAACAATAGTCTTCTGGGTTCAAATGTGAATGGGAAACTTCTTGTCAAATAAATATTGTCAGTTGGAATGACGGCTAACGTATTAGTATTAACACCATTCAATATGCTGTTCATAATGGCATCTGTATTGATATAAATCATATCAATGGAATTTGTGATATTGGGAAGAATTGTCCCATATTCTGTTTTATTGACAATCTTTTCTGTGAATCCAATCAACTCCCCAAATTTACTGTTTCTCAGATCCAGTTGGTAATTGTTGTCAATCTGACTGAGAATCTTGTATGTCGATAA